GTTCTTCTCACATAGCCGAGAAACTTGAACTGAACAATGATTGTGCCCTCATGGGTTGCAATGGTGAAGCCAACTTTTGGCGGGTCAGCCAAATTATTGCTGTGGGTCACTTAGTGACCCGCAAGTCATAGGTTGCCGACCACTGGTCTAGATCATATACTAAGCTAAAAATGCAAAATAATCTTTATATAATAGAATTATACTTAAATCAGCTAAATTAATTTTGTTAATGAAAGTAACTTTAAAAGAGAGAATACAACATACAAATCCTAGTATTCTAGTTAAATGTAACTTTTGGCAAAATGCTTTAAAGCTTTACTACTAACAAAGTAAATGTGTATAAAATACAAAGATTTTGCATCAAAATTAACACTACAATATTGTACAACAAATATTCAAATATTCTTTAGCATCAATCTGGAAAAGAATACAAATTTCAATGACATCTTACTGGGTATCAAAAGTGGCAAAAATTCTACGCATAATGTCCTGTAGAGCAGCATCTCGGCGCTCTTCTGCATTTATCATTTTGGCCAAAAAGATTTTAATTTCCGGAGTCCAGTATCGCTTGTAACCTTTCTTCTGACTCTGAAGTTCGTGATCATCAGTAGCGTGTTTCACCGCACTATCTGGAACTTCCAACTGATATCTCGTTTTTCCACTTCCAAAATAAGTGACCTAATGAAGAAAATTTAATAAGCCTTTAACCTGATTTTTAAATCAAACTTAAGGTAGTAATTTCATAGTTTCCAATTTGTACTTGTATAAAAATAATTGAACCAAAATTTGATTAAACTGTCAGAAAAATGTGTCATGTACGGGAAGATTACTAAGTTTGTAAATGTTTTGTCAGCATAAAAAATCTGTATACTTTTAAAAATGACAAATATATTTTACACACAGTATAGCTAGATCTTTCACAGTTCGTGTTTAGATGGAATCCTTTATACTATCATGCTTAAAGTGTTTCGAAGGAAGTAACTATTACATATACAGATACTTTATATTTGTTGACATTTTTCGTTTTTCTTTTAAATACTTCCATATAAATTCAAAGAGGGACTCTTGACTAGCGAAGTGAATCTACTATAATATTTGTTTGCACATTACTTCGAAAAAAAACGTGAAAAAATAAAATAAAGGACAATTATAAATCACATTGTAATTACATAAATGCATACAAAAGTGGTCTTGAGGTTTGGTTTTCAATCACTCAATCTAAAACAATATTATATTTGAATAAAATATGAGAGATTTGTTGTTAACTACAAATGGTCTAACTGTGCTGTGCCAATCACAGGTATCAAAATTTGATTTTTTAGAATTATAAGCCCTTAGATGTATCGCTGAGCCACTAAGATTGGGCCATTTTAACAGACAAACAATTACACTAGAAATTAAATATCTATTTGTATCGGGAAGTACTTGGCATGCTGCAACTCCTATGTTAATTTACGATCATGATTTTGATGAAGGCAATCATGTCGTTCATTAATCCTGAGATAAACTTTAACTAAAACTAATTTTTTATCATACTGCCCTACGCTAACATGTATCTTTACTATACTAAAACCAACCAGATTAACTACTAATAATGCATATTTACAAACAAGTTCAAATACTGTTTGTATGATTTAAGAAATTATCTAATTATTTATAAAAACCATAAAATTACAGTGCCTTTCATATTACAACCCATAAATACTTACTTTGCACGAGAAATGTCTTTTTTGTTTTTCTAAATACTCGTCTAGTAGTTTCTTAGTTTCGTTAATGGATGTAACTGCAGAATCGTAGTCCTCATCAACACCTAGTGATATTCAGGTAAATATTAATAGATTAATGTACACTTACCACTTAAGTGTTAGAAAAACCTTCCTGTATATTGAAATTGTCTTCAACCAAATTAAACAATCTTTTCTACTTAGGAAAAAAAAAAAGGAACCATACTACACAGATATCAGAGTTAAAAATGTAAAACCTATCTTATATTACTAAGTTGAATATTTGTGTACAACAAAAGCTTTCATTCACATGAACACCGTACATTATCCTATACTCCATTTCTGATTTAGTTATAGAGGATAACATTTAAACCTTACATTTATTGTGTGGTCCAGTGGGGTTCAAGTACCCATTATATGAATACACTGTAATTGAAGTTATCATAGGATTATAGTATTTTGGCACTTGTGTATAAAGTTAAAATCATAAATAATATTCAACGTTAAACT